TTTGTTATAAAATTATGATTCTTGCTACAGAGCCGGATTTTGCAATTTGGCTCAATAAAAATTTACAATAGATGAAAATATTTTCATCTTATTGCCCTATAGTGCAAATCTAGTTACGCATAAATGAATTATTTATTTACAAAATTTTCTTACAAAAATCGCTCTGTAGCTTTCGTCAGACAAATATTCTGATTATAAATGTCGTAATTATATAGCAATTCTCACAGCATTTTGGCCGTAATATGGGTGAAAAGGAATTCATCTCCAATAGAAATCTCTATAGTCTCTCCTGCCGATCCTTAATTTTTTAAATTTGTATATATCTACACTTACATCGCAAAGATTATAGCTTATGATAAATTTCTTTTTTGGATATCGAAAAAAAATATGTATAGATTTGGCATTATTTTGTGATTTATTTACAAATGTTTTTTTATAAGACACGATTAAAAACAAAAGAAATAGATAAAACTTTTATGTTGGGAAAAATATAAATTTAAATAAAAAAATATATTTAAGTGAAACAATAGATTGTGATAAAATTTTATAAGATTTATAAAATTTATTTTGTTTCTAACATTTTTTATCAGCTTTTTTAAGCATAGCAATATTACAAGAATTATACTCAATTAAGGAGATCCTGGACTGACGAGCGAACTCCGACGAAAATGTTTACACATATGCACATCTAAACATACATAGATACATTTATGAATACATACATACACTTATACATACATTTCTGTACACACATGATACACATATGAACAAATTTTTGTATTGCCTTTTTGTATTACATTAGCTATCTAGTTTAATTCTAAAAACTTACTGTTGTTTTTTCATGTAATCTTCTAATTTAACAATATCAATTTTAGATACAGATTGTAAAATTTTCATAAAAAGCAAGTATTAACGCGACTTAACAGCTTTGGAGTACCAAATTTTAAAGTATCAAATGGTAAAAAAAATCTAAATTTTAAATATTTTTCTTGTTTTTATGTTTTGTTTTATGTCTTATTGTTATGAAATTCATATGTTAGACATGTATTAATGCATAAACTTTAATTGTAGAAAAGGATTTCCAGATTTATGAAGTTAATAAGAAATGCGAGCGATACAAATATTATTGTGTCGGTAATACAGACAAGTCCAATATCCCCTTAAATATTGCAAGAATTAATACTCGGCCACATGATTACGATATTCATTCACAAAGGACGCCATTATGGAAATTTTTTTCATTATTTTATGCATAAAAATATTAATACAATTATTAAAAAATGAATAATTTAGTACAAAATATTTTCTATTTTTCTCGGAATATGTAAGAATAAAATATAAATTATTTCGAAAAATTATTGGTTTTTCAGCATTTGTATCTTAACTTTTTTATCCAAAATAACTAGAAGAATCATACTATTCAACTTTGCCAATTTAAACTTTATATAATTGCAGATATATTATATATCTATAATAATTTTGTTCATATATACAGTTATTCTGCATCTGATAAAACTGGAGATTAGTGAATCATCCTTGACCTTGACATATGTTATCAAGGTCATGACTCTGAGTGACCTTCAAAAAATTTTATCCATCGGACGTCCTTCGTTAAAAAATTATAATCGTAAAAAGTTAATTAATATTAGAAAAGCAATAAGATATAGTCAAGCGTATAAAATAAAAATAAAAATTGCATAAGTTGGGCGACTTCACGGCTTTCAATGACCTTAACATATATTGTCAAGATCATCATCCTGAGTAACAATCAAAAGATTTTAGCCATCGCTCGACGTATACATTAAGTTCAACTTTGCGTAAAAAGTTAAACCTATGTGGAACCTTGTTCCGAGTTAAAAAGTGTATGCAGTGGAGACAGTGTGTCCCCCTATGGATAGGCTCTACTACATACAGTGTTACTCATACACAAATTGTGGCTAGAGATGCGATCACATATGCCTCGTTATGGCACACAAGATTATTACTTTTCACATCTTGCAGAGTTCTTATTTAAAAAAATACTTACTAAAAAGTAATTACAATGAACGTATCGATGCTTTTTTTAATATTATGGATTCTATGTATCTTTTAAATAATAAATATATCGCGGGAATCGACTAGATTGAGCCTCGTTTCGTTGCTACCAATATCGACGTTTGAATCTATAAGAGAACCGCCGATACAAACCCGGCATCGCAAAGGCTCTCTTAAGAGTGTTAACCTCTCGAACCGCTGACTGCTGGAGACTATGTTTAAATCCTACGCAGGATTTCCGCGCACAACTTTTGCTGATGTCGTTATTGTCACCTTTGACGCGTATGCGCCCTCTCGACCGCCTTGGTTGCGTGCCGAAGTGCCTCTGTAATTGCAGGTCTATCTCCCAGCTTTCTATCTGTGTGCCGATGGACGTAGCGTTTTGTGGAAGATGTCGGTAGAGGCGTGGATCCCGTGGCAGACTTTCGTACACGGGCGTGAAATCTAGATCAATCGGAATCAATCTCCACGGTATTGAGGCGGAGTCTTCGTTCTTCGAGGCGGTGATCTTCTCCGTAGGTCCGGATGCTAGCCGCGCTATCTCTCCGCTGGTTCGGATTCTGGCCGGTGCGTAATTAGCGTGGAAGTCGCCAATGGCAGAGCTCTGATGAATAACGATTCTGGAATACAGGCCTTCCGTTGCGAAGTATCAGCGGAAGTCTTCTGATCGGGAGGCGCCGGCGATCCCTCAAACGTAATGGCGGCCAGACAAGGCCGACTCGCCTGCGCGCGTCGGCTGATGTCTCCCCGATGAGGCAGCGGAAATGCCCCGATTAGGGGAATGCGCGCTCCTTCGATCACTTGGGAGAGGCGGTCGTGTTCGTAATCCAGTAGGAGTAACCGTTGAAGGCGATTCCTCTGGGTGAACGGCCGATGAAGGCAATTCCTGTTGAGCGTAAACTGGGTACCAGACGGGAACGGCTAGTGAAGGCAATTCCCTCGTTGCATGCTTCCGTCTAGGGAGGGCGAGACGCACCGTTGGATCCGTCGGCGAAGCTGAGCACTTAATTTTATTGTTGTATTACAACAACACACTGAGAGATGCTGGCCTCGATGCGTGAATGGCGTCAATAGAGAGGCAGATCGTGATTCATCGAAACTAAGATGCTCTCTATATCCCGCGGAGATTTGGCCGCGAGAGAATGTTTCAGCAATAGGTCATCTACTGGGCGCACGGTGTATCACCGCGGCCGCAATGCTGGGCGTGCGGGTGGGCCGCGAATTGCGCGCGGTCGAATACCGTGAATACGGGCAGGAATGTGTGTGGTGGCTAAGCCGCCACAATATTGATAATGATAAATATATAAGATTCTTGAAATCATGTGTTATGTGAATAAATTCGTGAAACAATATAATAACAATACAAAGTGGAAATGAGTACTGACTATTAGAATGCCACCGAATGTAATCAAAATAAAACGATAAATCTACATGTATACAAAATCTGCGCTATGTGTACTTTGAACAAAAACACAAATTCTCTGTTTTAAAAACAAAAATCATTTTCTTATATAAAATAGGAGATTTGTATTTTAAAGCAGAGAATTTGTATTTTAAAGCAGGAAATTTGTGCCTTAAGAGAGAGAATTTGTGTTTTTAAAACAAAAAATAGTTTGGTGTTTAAACTTTGTACTTTTCTTTGTACTTTTCTTTGTACTTTTCTTATATGAGTTGAAATTTAAATCTAACATTTCTTTAAAATACACACTCTAACTATACACACGGCTACGTCGTTCAAATTCCTATAAATTTAAAAAAAAATGTTACAAATATTTTATAACATATAATTTAATTAATTTATTAATTATGATTAATAAAATTACCTCATGATTTAAATAAAAATTTGTCATGAATTTCGAGTTTCTAAATTTTTGTATATGCTTCTTTTAATGTGAAAGATAAAATGTCATATAAAAATTCTTCCGATATAACATTTAAATACACAAAATTAACCAATATCCGTTTATGATCCGGTTAAATTTCCAATCCCAAAACATCTTTCGCAAATTTTGGCCATGATTTAGCATCTCCAACATCTTGAACAACAAGCCAAGGATTATTATTCAGTTGTTCTACTAAAAATATTCCATTTTAATATTAATAAAAACACATTTAAAAGCACAGAATTTGCAATCTTGTCTGCCTACAAAACTTGTATTTGATCACGTATACCCGTGACTGCCATCTAAAATCTTTCCAAGATCACTCAAGATAATGAGCTTGACAACATATGTCAAAGATCATTGGAGGGGCGGTTTTTCTAAATATTTATCTAATAATATTATGAAAATAACTAGTTATAGTATTTATATACTAGTATATTACTTATTGATGAATAAATTGTTCACTTTATCCTTTATTTTTTGTTAATAATAAATTTCTTAACGAATAGTGACCGCCATTTAAAACCGGTATCACAATAATAGACAAATATCACATTATCATTGTGATATTTAACTACCATCCGTGGGGCGGTTTACAATTTTTCACAATCATTGTGATACGGATTGAATTAGGTTAGATCTTTTGGTAGTGGAACCCCCCGTAGGAGGGACGGAACACATTGTCTCCACGCATACACTTTTTAACATAAAACAAGATTCCACGAGTTTATAACTTTCTACGCAAAGTTGAACTTAAATGTATACGTCGAGCGACGGCTAAAATCTTTTAATTGTTTCTCAGGACCTTGACAATATATGTCATTGAAATTCGTGAAGTCGCCCAATTTATGCAATTTTATCTTTATTTCATACGCTTGACTATATTTTATTGTCCTTCTAATATTAATTAACTTTTTACGATTATAAACTTTTTAATAAAGGACATCCGATGGATAAAACTTCTTGAAGGTCACTCAGAATGATGATCTTAACAACATATGTCAAGTCAAGGCCATTGGGTGGTCCCCTAATCTTTAGTTTTATCGTTATATAATCTATTTAATTTTAATTTTATTCTTGCAGTAAACATGGATAAAACATTAGGTAATATAGAAATATCTATTCTATTATAAATATAATTTTATTATGTATGAAATTTGTAAACAATCATGTTATGATAAGAAAATCTTCAAGTTTATAAGTTAAGAAATAGATTACTGTATATAAATGTTAAATTTTATATACAGAAAATATATATTTCATACATAAATAGATTAAAAAAGATATATATTTAATACAAAAAAGTCTTGATTATTATAATTATTTGTTTAGTTTATCATATTTAAAACTTATACAAAAATTGTTAGTTTAAATTATTGTAGAATTTTACATGTATAATAAAATTGAGATAAGAATTATATACATTATACAGAATAGCTCATAAAGCTTTTTACAATTCGATATCTCAGAAATTATTAATGATATAGAAAAATGTGTGAAAGTGGAACGACTTTGAGAAGCACATATTTTGATTATATTGTTTTTTTCTAGATGGAAACGTAAAAAAAGTATGGTCATCTTCACCTTTTTAAATGAAACTATATAATTTTTTTTACATAATTTGATTTCTCTAATTATTTTGCACATAAAAATATTAATATAAAGTGATCGAAAAATTAACAGTTTACGAAATATCTTATGCTTATTCAATTTATGAAATATTTAAAATGTCCATCATGTACTTGTAAATATTTATTCCTCCGAATTAATTATTTCAATTTTGATAATATTTCAAGAGTTACTTAAAGCTCAAGCATCGCATATACTTTCATATTCTTTCGTTGTTGGATTCAAACACAATAACTTTGTCCTTCAGAAAAAACATAAATAAACACTGTACATTCATTTTGTTCAATTCAAATTATGTATGAAAATCTTTGCAGCTATTATTCAAATAATAATATTGTAAAAGTCACAACGATATTTGATACGGAAATGAATATGTTATTAAGTGAATTATTGGCATACAATTATTGGCATGGTAATATTTTTCGAATGTTATGCGATCAAAAAATAACACATGATGTTTTTTAATTTAGAAAAGCAGCTTTGTGAATATAGTGAATTATGTAGAACAATTCACAATAAACGTGAAAGTGTTATTAATGGGAATAACAATGCCAATATTCTTGCTGCAATTCCATTAAATCCTCATCTTAACGTGAACTTGCTAGAGCATGAGCTATCAGTTGTTCTTTAATTCAACAAATTTTGAAAAAGAATAGATATTATCCGTGATTCACTCATTTTATTTTATCATAAGAACTTTCAATGACAGATTACGAGTGCTACGTAGCTTTTTGTGAGTTGATACATGTACAGTACCATCCAAAATAATTAATTTCTGTACATTTTTCCAATACATTTCAAATATATTTTTCCAATGAGGCTACTTTTATGAATTTAGAAAGATGAATAATAATCTTTTGTGAATAGACATATGCATTATTAGGCTGTTGAAAATCTTCATTGAATGCTATCTGTTCTACTTTAACATCAATGGTTTTTAAATTTGGTGCGACATAATAGAAGGCTTTATGATTGGACCTTTTTTTTCGAAGGAACTGTAATAAATGATAGTTATTGCAATTTATTATAAAATCATTTGTATATACTTTTGGACAATGTGCCGCTATATATCAAAAGAGACACATAGCTTTAATAAGACAGTGGTTATTTTGCAAACATCACCAAACAGTTTCTTAATGAAAAATTTGGAGATAAGTGGATAGATTGTGGTTCAATGATCTCAATTTCCCAATCTGATATTAAATATTTTCTTATTCGGATATATTAAGTGTACAAAAAAGTTCTGAGCTTTTTTTTGTAAAATTCAATCTTTATTCAAAAACAAAAAAATATTAATCAGCGAAATATTCATATTTGCATCAACGACCTTTTGCCATCTTTCGGATAACTTGAGAATTCCTTGATGATAGAAGCTTACTGGCTTCGAAGCGATAAAGTCATCAATGCATTTTCGTATCTCTTCAAATCTCACGAAATGTGTATCAGCCAAATGATGCTGCAGCGACCGGAATAGGTAGTAATCGGAAGGCGCCATGTCTGGGTTATACGCCGCGTGCGGGAAAAGTTCCCAGCCTAACGCAAAGATATGGTCCTGAATCGCTTTCGCAACATGTGGTCGAACATTGTCATGAAGCAAGATCACTTTACGACGTCCTTGACCAGTAAATGGCCTCTTTTCTTCTAATGCATCACTCAAATTGGTCAATTGTTGTTGGTAGCGGTCTGCCGTGATTGTTTCACTCGGTTGTAACAATTCGTAATACAACACACCTTTCCAATCCCACCAGATACAGAGCAAAACCTTCTTGGCGTGGATATTGGGCTTTGGCGTCGATGTCGAAGGTTGACCAGGGTCAACTTATGATTTTCTTTAGGGTTATCATAAAGAACGTTTAGGGTTATCATAAAGAATCCACTTTTCATCGCCTATAATGATTTTGTGCAGAAAATCTTTCCGGAACTTTGAAAGCAAAGTGAGTGCAGTGTCACGCCGACGATTTTTGTTGTCTTTGGACAATTCATGAGGAACTCATCTGCCTTCCTTCTGAACCTTTCCCATCGTATGTAAACGTACGGAAATGGTTTGCCGCGTAACGCTAAGCTGTTCTGCAAGCTCCTTTTCAGTTTGCGCAGAGTTTATATCCAGCAGTGCTTGCAATTCGTCCGTTTCAATCTTTTGAGGGTCCAGCACGCGGTTCATCTTCAAGACTGAAATCTTCTTGGCGAAATTTTTGATACTATCTTTTACATGTAGTATGACTTACAGCGTTCTCTCCATATGCAGCACAAATCATTGCAGTGACTTCAGCAGCATTTTTCTTCAGATGAAACGCGAAGTGGATGGAAAATCGAATATGCTCTTTTGTTATTGCCATCGTGAACACTACTGATTGTTGAGGTTATGTGCATCAAACGCCAAACCGTATAGCATTTTAGAAGGCCAAATGTCAACGCTTTAAAACCGCAAAAGAGCGGGAAGATATATAAAATTTAAATTGTTATTTCGGTTGTATGAAATCTAAAGCTCAGAACTTTTTTATACACCTAATATAAAGGAGAAAGTTATGTTTAAATTTCCGACGACGAAAAAAAATCTAAAATAAAGAATACATGATGCTTGCGCTTCAGTAACTCCTGAAATATTATCAAATATTTGAAATAATTTTTTAATTAATAAATGTTTACAAAGTCCATAGACATTTAGTTTTGAATATTTAATAAATTGAATAAGTCGGACATTCAAGTCAGAATAGAATATTGTAATTTTGGTATTGTAAATACAACAACAAAATAAAAATATCTTGTAAATTAGTAATTTTCCGATCACTTTATCTCAATACTTTTATATGCAGAATAATTAAAAAAGTCAAATTATGTGATAATCATTAAAATCATATAGTTCAATTTAAAAAAGTGTAAATTGTAAGCAGCAGTTCGATGTTGTCGTTTTTTTTCTTTGGTCTCGCCCACACTTGCGAGCCGATGCCGCTTTGAAGACTTTCGCTGATGGCGACAGCTTTTATTTAGTTTTTCGTTGTTATTGCGAGCCGTGACCAAAATCTTTTGATTTACCCATTTTTGTTATCTAGCCATCGATTCCGTCGACGGCTATCGGAATAAAGAGATCAACACGGACGAGTTCAGTTTCAGTCCAGCTACCGAGCGCGTTAGAGTTCGTATTATACGAATAAAGCTTTGCTTATTATGAATGCGTAGAATCATTTTGGCTTCCCTTTCAAAATAATTCATATTTTTTTGATGTTTGTAATGGTGCATATTTTTATCCGCGACCATTTTTAATATATAAAATTAGATTCGTAATCAATTGCGAGACGGTCACGCGTATCGATTGCGTGAGAGGCGTCCGCGCCGCCGAGTCCGACCAAAGACTGCCGAAAACGTCCGAAAGCAAAAGCGCTCTCACCGCGGAACAAACATCCGAGCATCTCCGGTCTTCTCCGAATTCCGCCGGAGATAAAAAGATTGCTGATCTTATTAGAGCGGTGGCGATGGCTCAATTACCGCTCACGATGAATCGTTCCGAATCCCGCTCGGATATCGGATCATGGTGGTATAAAAGGCCTCCGCTCTATCAAGTCAGATCTTCTACAGATCTCCTTCGGATCATGCTCGCTCCCACAAGTTGATCCGGCGCTCCGCTTCTACAAAGAGACGTAAAGAAACCGAGATGAGGGTATCTCGCCGCCGCCTGGAAATTTCCGGCGAAGCTAAGTTCTCTTTCTCGATCCGACCTCCGCTTTCCGTAACCGAAAAGAACGACCACGAGTGTTTCCTGCTTCGCCGAGAGATCAGCATCCAGTTTTTCCTAACACCATCCAAACCGAACCAAGGGAATCGCTGAGGTGAGGGCAATTCATCTCCACCCGAAAAATCCCAGCCGATCGCACTCCAAGAATCGCGTGTACTCCACGATTCCTATCGAGGACGTATTGTCGAGGTGAGGATGATCCGCCGCCACCGGGAGTTCCCAGCCGACCGTTTATCTCGCAAAGAAATCTCGATGCATCCGTGGAATATCCGTAATTATCCGCTCCGACACTCGCCATTTTTACGATCCACAATATATATATATATATATATATATACATGACTTCCGTTCCGGAGCGAAGAATAGCGGGCGTGTATTAACGGGCGAAATTTGTATAAAAGACAGTGAGGGTGAACGGGGTGAGGATGTAAGAAAAGGAGAGTTGAAAAAGAGAGTGTGAAGAGTTGGGCAGTGATGGAGGGGAAGAAAAGTGTGCAGGTTCAGGAGGAGCGAATGAAAGTGAAGGTGAAGAGAGTGAGGTTAAAAAGACAAATACATTG